GGAATACATACTGAGTGCTTAGAAGAGTACCTGGCACACAACAGTGGTCCAGCACATTTGGCTTATTCTTATTTATTCCAGGGAAGAAATAAACACAGACTATTTCAAAGATTATTATTTATATGTTAAAATTACTGCTGAGTAAGATTAATATTTCAGGGAGAATTCTAGATGGATCCCATAGCCAATATCAGTAGAGAAAAATCAAGGAAATGTTCTGAGTCGAAGCCAGTTTGGCTCAGTGGTAGAGCGTCGGTCTGCGGACTGAAAGGTCTCGGGTTTGATTCCGGTCGAGGGCATGTACCTTGGTTGCAGGCGCGTCCCCAGTAGGGGGTGTGCAAGAGGCAGCTGGTCGATGTTTCTCTCTCATCGACGTTTCTGGCTCTCTATTTCCCCTTCTCTCTTTAAAAAATCAATAAAATATATTTTAAAAAAAAGAAAGAAAGAAAATGTTCTGAGGTTTGATGCAAACAATTGGCAAGTTATTTCATCCCAACTACCACCTGCTAGTCCAGCAAAATATGCTGTCCAGCAAAATATCCTCTCCAACAACATGGCTCAAATGTGACTCATGTAAACCCCATAATGAACAGCTGGAAATCTGGGACCAACCAGAGTGGGAGGTACATACTGAAGCCAGAGCCAGAGCCAAGGCACAAGCTACAACTGCAAATTAGGACCCCTCCTCATAGTACGTAAAAGGACTATCCTCATTCTTACCCATACTTTTGGTTTCTTCCCTAATGCCTTTCCTTCAGCTTATCAAAATCATTTCAATCTTAACAGAATGAAGTCTTGAGAATATCTGAATCTGGAGAGAGTTTTAGCTCCAAGTTGCTATTTTGTCCCAAGCTGCAGAGAAATTTTAGACAGTGTACATGAGTCATTTCAGACTAGATCTACCCTCTCTAAATGTCAGAGTAGTTTCTTGTGCCTTAATCTTTGGATAATTTGTGGCCTTTTTCATCATTGGGAAATTGATCAGACTAATCTATAAAGCCCACTTCTTTCTTGGCCCAGCATACCTGTTCCCCAAAAAAACAAACAAAATATCATTTCTGTTTGTAGTTTGTCATAGAATTTATGGCCCTGTACTTTGCATGTTATGTCCCCAGAATAAACAGGAATGTTAATAAATGGGACAATAATAGGTAATTGGAAGAGGCAGTAGTTCAGAAAGACATGCTAGAGTTTGTCTATTAGAACAGTTACTAGAAGTTCTGATGAACGACAAGTCTGGGGCAAATTAAAAGGAGAGGGGGACAGTTAGTATATACAGACATGCAACAGGAAGCTGAAAGTACTAGTATTTCAGAAACCTCTATTCAATTTTTTATGGGAAAACTAAACAATATTTCAAGAAGTGAAGTCTCTCTTCTTTTACTGAACACATTTATTCAACAAATGTGTTGATTATTATCTTCTTCCACTAGAAAGTTAGCTCTGGGAATAGGCTCCTTGCTTTGCTGGACTCCTGGTGCCTGGAATTGTACCTGGAATGTTGGAATGCTTAATAAATATCTGCTGAATAAATGAGTGAATTGATCTGAAGCCGGAAAGAGGTGAAATTTTTCTTCTTTTCTGTAGAAAGGAGACTGTTTCTACACTGTTATCTTTACCTTGCTCTCTACAGCAAAGTCTAGTCAATCCAGCTTCCTCGTGTGAAGCAGCTTCCCCCTTACCCTTTTATGTAGTTGGACTCTTGCCCTCAGAATCTCACCTTTTATTCATGAAGTCTCTTCTTAAAAATGAGTTTTCCTCTTAAGATTTTTAGTGACAGCCATCCTGATAATAACATTTTTACCTTTCAAAGAACTATAGACACCATCCCCAAGCAAAACTCAATGAAAAGAGAGCAGCTTGAGACATGGAGGAAGAGGATTATCAAAAGAAGTAGAAGTCTGAACCAGACCAGAACAGCCCAGCTTCTATAAGGTCCTGGATGTCAGGATCAGAGTCTGACAGTATATTCGGTTGTTATTTACATGTATAAGATCATTTTTAAAAATAAATATCATGAATTCATTCTAATTTTATTCTATAGTTAGGAGCAGGACATTATCAATAAACTCTTCTGAACTTTACAATGCTTCTAGTTGAAGCATTCCTCAAGCTGCTATAGATTGATGGAACTAGTTTGCCATACTGATGATTTCAGTCAAATCCTGCTTTTCAGGATGCCAAACTCCTTCCAGAAAGTTGCTCACTCATTACTCTTCTTTGGGTGTGTTATGTGTTTTACAAAATGTTATGCATCATATAACAAAGAACATCCTATCTAATAAAAGAGTAATATGCAAATTGACCATCACACCAAGATACAAGATGGCCACCACAAGATGGCCTGCAGGGGAGGGCAGTTGTGGGAAGTTAAGGGTGACCAGACCAGCAGAGGAGGGCAGTTGGGGGTGACCAGGCCAACAGAGGAGGGCAGTTGGGGAAGACCAGGCCAGCAAGAGAGGGTAGTTGTGGGGAGACCCAGGCCTGCAGGGGAGGGCAGTTGGGAGGGACCAGGCCTGCAGGGGAAGGCAGTTTGGGGAGGGGGGCAGGCCTGTAGTGAAAGACAGTTGAGGAAAGGGACCCAGGCCTGCAGGGAGGGCAATTGGGGGCAATCAGGCCAGCAGGGAGGGTAGTTAAGGATGACCAGACCAGCAGAGTAGGGCAGTTAGGAGAGATCAGGCCTGCAGGGGAGGGCAGTTGAGGGGGTGTGGGGGGGAGGGGCCTACAGAGGATGGCATTTGGGAACCAGCAGTTCTGGATTGTTAGAGGGATGTCCAACCACCCATTTAGGCCTGGGTGGTTGGACATCTCTCAAAGGGTCCCAGATTCAGAGGGTGCAGGACACACCCCACCCCATGTACAAAATTTTGCACCAGGCCTCTAGTATTGCTAATAAGAGGATTTTAAAAATGGTACACTCTGCAAGAGAACAAATTCCAAAATCTAGGGCAAAATTCTCAAACTGTGGCCCCAGCCCAGCAGCCTCAGCAACATCTAGGAACTTGTTAGAAATGCAGGTTATCAGGCCCCACCCCAGACCTCTAATTGAGGCCCGCAATCTGTGTGTTAATAAGCCATCCATCTGATGCTGATTCCCACTCCCTCCACCCCCAGGTCTGAGAAACACAGCTGTAGCATCACCACACCTCCAGAGCCTCTTAATGGATGGTCCCTTTTGAACATTTCTGTATGCCAATGCTATCTCTGAATCATGATTCTTTATATTGCCTGGTCCTTTGATTCACAAAATATCTGTGGCCAGTCCTCAGATGCCCTGATTTCCATATTAGTAGATGCTCACAGCTCTCTGCCAGCCTGCCTGCTCCCTGTTCTGTACCCCTAGGCCAGTCTGCTGGTGTATTGGTTGTGCTGTGCTCTGCAGGGTGGAAGGGCTTCACCTTGATTGCTCTCCTCACTCACTGTTTAGAGCTCTCTCACAGCCTTTAGAGACCTCAAAGGTCCCCAGGGAAAGCTGCCATGGCCTTGTCCTGGAACTACAAGAACTTAAACACCCCCCTGGGCCCACAACTCTAAACATTGAGCTTCTAGCTCTCACCTGAGCTCTTGTTCACAGCACAGCTGACCTCTGTTCACACAGACCACACGGTGCTATCTTGCCTCCTCTTAGAGCAACTCAGCCTCCTCCTCTTCTTCGGGCCTCAACTTTCTCCCTGCAGGCCTGGGTCCCCTCCCCCAACTGTCTTCCACTCAGAGAGCTTATTACAACACAGAGTGCTGACTGGGCCCCACCCAGAGGTTCTGATTCAGTTGGTCTTGAATGTAGCCCAAGAATTTTTATTTGTAATAAGCTCCTGGTTTAAGTTGGCGCTATTGTCCAACAACCATACTTTGAGAACCACTTTTGAAAGTGAATAACACTGTACTTATTTGCAGATGAATACCTTTAAAAAAATCAATCCAGACCTGCCCCAAATGACTAGTCTCTGATGTCTCCCCCCAAAAATGTAAAGAATCCATCCACTAACTCTATTTGTTTGTCTTCATGGGCAATTAAAAAAAAAAAAGTTTTGAGGTGACTTTAATTTTTATTTAGCCTTGGGCAGAAATTGTCAGTGTCACCTGCTGTGCTTAGTGAAATGCTTTTTCTCTCAGGGGAAAGAGTGTTCTCCGTTGCTCCTAAAATCTGCTGGCTGTTGGCTGTTGGCTCTGATTCCAGTTCTCTCCAGTGAAGGTACAGTTGGGTGGGGGTGGGAATCAGTGTTCAGAAACCTTGCTGTCTGGAATCAGGGCAAAGTGCTGAGATAGAAAGCCAGAATCTTGGCTTTGAAATGAAAGTGAGACATGACTTTAACAATCCCACCCATGACCAAAGCATTTAGACTCCCACTCTTAAAAGGGAGGCCCTCACTTCCCCATCTTCCCCTACCCCGTCCACCAAGCTGAACCAGAAATAGCCCACAGCTCACTTCTCAGGGTGACTCCCTCCCCTTCGTCTTCAGAGACCACATTTGCAGCTCCCAGAAAAAGGCTTCAGCTAGCAGCTGCACAAGTCACTGCTGACATCCTCATGCAGAGAGTGGAGCTGAAACCAGAGAGAAAAATGCCAATAGGGCAAAAGCCTCATTCAGATCCCCAATGCCCGATGCTGCCTGCCAGTGCCAGCCAGATCCAGGTCCACAGCCTGCATGGGATGCCTGCCCCTAGGGGCCTGCTGATGGAAAGCACAAGGTGGCCTCTGGCTTACCTTTCCTGATTTCACAGCACCACCTACGGTGGGGACTCTTAGGAGGGATGTTTGTGGGGACCTGGGGCATAAAGCCACACATCACTTCCTAGTTTGTCTCTGTGAAAGCAGAAAGTCAACATCCAACCTATCCCCCACCCATACTAGCTTCACTCTGATTCAAGTGCCAGCGGTCCTGGGGGAACAGTATTCAAATGCCTCTGCTAAAGGCCTGTGCTTCTCACAGTGGTTCCCCAGGAGCATAAAATATGAGAAGTGAAACTGAAATGTCACCCTTTTAAGGAGGGGAGAGGAAGAACCACCCTGAAGGCCCTTTTAGTTGGGCCTGTTATTTTTCTGTTGGTCACACACAGGCCTGGCCCGCACCATGAAGGGTTTCACTGCTGCATTCCTCATCTGGACCCTGATCTCTCCCAGTGGTGGTGCCCCCCCAGCCTGGCCCACACACACAGCCTGCAAGGACTCGAGCTTGGAAGTGCTCTACCAGAGTTGTGGTAAGGTCTTTATCCCTTTGTGCTCAGTAGTTGAGTATCCATCTATGAACCAAGAGGTCAGTCTGCTTCCTGGTCAAGCCCATGCCTGGGTTGTGGGCTGGGACCTCGGTGTGGGGCATGTAGGCAGCAGCCAGTGTGGGGCATGCAGGAGGCAACATAGAGAGATGTTTCTATTTCTCTATCTCTCTCCCTTTCTCTCTAAAATTAACAAAGCTATATTTAAGATAAATAAATAAATATCCTTTATTGTGGGAAATTAAGGCCCACAAACATGGGCTGCTATAGCTCTTAGTTGGGGTGGGTAAAGGGTGAGGGAATTAGTGGCAGAACACTTTCTCCACTTACAGCAGATCTGCAAGGGCCATTTGGAGCCCTTAGGAGAAGGAAGGGTAGGGGTAAGAAAGAGCCTGAATAGAGTGACAAAGAGAACAAGATAAAGACACCGAGAATCTAAGTATAGAATCCACTAATCCCACAGAGCCTGAAAAGGAACCCAGTGACCAATGAGTGTACAAATCATGAAACCTCGCCTCTTCAAAATTAGGAAAAGATGCTTCCAATCCCCCACCTCTCCCTCAAATTGTAGCCTTGGATAGTTTGTTTAGTTTGCAAGCTGAATGAAAAGATCACTTAAGCTAAAAAGGAGAGTTCTGTCCTTCTTGTAACACTTCCAGAGTTTCTGCTGCAGTAGCATCGCTCATTAATGAGGCAAAAACTTATCCTGCAGTGTTAGTGCCTGGGCTTTCTCTAGTGCTGCACATGGTAGAAGGGAACGAACCCTAGTGGTCACCCCAACATGGAAAACTGATAAACCAACTGAGATTGCAATTAATGAACAGAATGCAGGAAATGGCAATAATCTGTGTCTGAGTCAATCCTTTGGGGTTTACATTAGTCTATTGGGATGTCATACAGAACACCCTGGATGTGGTGGCTGAAACAACAAAAATTGTTTGGTTGCTCCTGCAGCCTCTCTCCTGTGTCTTCGCCTGGCCTTTCCTTTATGCCCACACAGTCCTAGTGTCTCTCCCTCAAAAGCCAGTCCTATTTGATTAGTGTCCATTCATATAAGCTCATTTAAGTTTAACCACCTCTTTAAAGATCCTGTCTCCAAATGCAATCATATTCTAAAGTACATATTCTAAATGACTAGGCTTCAAGGTATGAATTGGGGAAGGGACACAATTCAGTCCATTCAGGGGGCCTGAGTGGGGAGAAATAAGCCTGGCCTCAAGATCATATCTTGAATGAAGATTAGAGGAATGCGCTTGTGAAAGGGCATGACATATGAAATATGACACTTTGGAGAAAGACTGTGGGCAAACTGTTGTCTTGATTGAAGGAGGTGGAAGGAGATCTTGTCTTGCTAAGCATCTAAGTTGGCTGTACTATATATATGCTGGGGAATAGTGGAGATGTTATGAGCAGATACCCTATCCCTGTAGCTGCCATCCAAGGAGATGACTGTCTAGACCTCTCTGAGGCAGCACCAACTTAACTTTATTCCTTTAAAAGAAGAAACATGGAACATTAAAATGTAAATAATTTTTTAATGTAAAAGAATGAAAAGCTGGTGCTGGTGTGTTGATCTCATTACTCTTGCTCTTTCTGAGGGAATGAGATGCTATCTGCTGACATCTATTCATTTTATGTGCAGGATGACAAGAAAGACTTGAGATGAATGGATTGCTCAGGACTCATTTTTCCAATTCATCCTCCCATAAAAGTTGCCATGGCTGGTCCAGCTCCCTGACTAGTCTTAAGCTTACAACTAAGCTTGGTACAGCCTTTCAAGTTGCTGCCAGAAGAGGCAAGAGGGGCAGATGAATCAGGGAGAGAACAGGAGCATAGCATTCACCCACCTGGGGATAATGCTTCCCTCTGCTCCAGGGATCAGTGAACGTGGACACAAGCCCTGATCTGGGCATTTAGAAAAAAAAAATGAAGGAGATGCTGTTCTTTTCTAAGAATAGTGGGGGTCAGACAATTAAATAACAGGGTGAGTGTTCTGTAGTAAAGGTTGGAGTAGATGCCTGCATCGCACACTAGAGGACATGGTAGTTGGAGAGGTAATGTTGGGGAATGTCTGGGGCAGGGTCACCAAGCTTGAATTTAACCTTAAAGAAAGATACAAATAGTAACTGTAGCAACTCATGCTCATAAAGATTTATATGTGCCAGGCATCAGGCCAAGTGCTTCCTATGTGTTATTTTACAGAAGTGCTAACTGAGGGTTAGAGATGTCAGGTAATTGTCCAAGGCCACACAAACAACAGTATCAGAGTTACATCCCTGGTGGCATGGAGAAGGTGTTGAGTAAATATCTATGCAATTAATGAATTGATCTGAGGCCTTTCTGACTCCATAGCCTTTGCTCTTAATGTCCTGCTATCTATTGTTCTGTCTGACAACAAATGGAATAGAGGTGGTGAAAGAAGGAATGGCATGTGTGAAGGAGAGACATGTGACCAGGCACAGAGTTCAGAACTCTGAGGAAGGGCTGGAACAAGAGGGGATGGGAAGTGAAGTGGGCAATGGGGTCAGAACCTGAGTATGATGGTGAATTTTATGCCAGGAAGGTGGCTAACATTATTTCTAGGGGTGTCTGTGAGGGTATTTCCAGAAGATATTAGCATTTAAATCAGTGGACTGAGTAAATCAGGTCTCCTTCATCAGTGAGGATGGGCATCTTCCAACCTGTTGAGGGCCTGGGTAGAACAAAAAGGCAGAAGATGGGAGAATTCACTCCACCTGACTGCTGAGCTGGGCTGTACCTCCTGCTTGCAGCTCCCCTGGTTCACAGGCCTTCACACTACATCACCAGCTCTCCTGGGTCTCCAGCTCCTAGCCAGCAGATCATGGGACTTCTTAGCCTCCATAGTCATAGGAGCCTGTACCCCATAATAAATCTCCTTCTTGAATACATATGTATTATATATAATATATCTCATATATAACATATATACATTACAGATGTAATTCCATTGGCAATGTTTCTCTGGAGAACTGACTAATACACCAGGAGATCCAGACAAGGTTGGGCTGCATCCCTCTGTCAATGAGGAAAATGCATTTTAAAAAGATCCCTCAGGTCATAGGTAGGAGTATGGGTATTAGATTGAAAGTTGTTTAGGGATAGAAGCAGAGTTTGTAGCCTAAAGAATCAATAATTTAGGGAAGCTGAAACCAGTTTGGCTCAGTGGATAAAGCATCTATCAGTCTGCAGACTGAAAGGTCAAGGGCATGTACCTTGGTGGCGGGCACATACCCAGTTGGGGGTGTGCAAGAGGCAGCTGATCAATGATTCTCTCTCATCAATGTTTCTAACTCTCTATCCCTCTCTCTTCCTCTCTGTAAAAAATCAATAAAATATATTAAAAAATAAAAATAATAATTTAGGGAAGAAACTATAGGAGCTTGAACCAGCATTATTTTAAAAGCTTTAATGTCAGAGGGAATCTTTGGTTCACTTGGTATCAACAGAAAGGGAGGCAGAGTCCTGGGAGCTTCTCAAGAGTGTCTCCATAGCCGTGGAGCTGTCAGAGACCAACGTGCTGCACAGCCCTTCCCAGATGGAGAAGGTTTCCTTTCAGATTCTGGATTCCCAGTGGGGCAGCCGCCCTGCCTCCCCTCAGCCTCCATCCCCAAGGCCTACACATGGGAAACACAGTGCAAAGACTACAGTGTGACGCCCTGTCCAGCCCTCGTGTTTAGGGGCTTCAAGAATTCTAATATGCATGGGAATGTGGGAGGGTCAGCTGACAAAACAAAGGATCCATTGTTTTCTGTTTCATTTTTTCCCTTCTCTTTCTATTTTATAAAATTTTAGTGGGAATGGAAAAACCTTAGGCTATAAACTGTTTTGAATAATACAAAAATCCTTGAGACAAAAGAACCTCTTAAGCACTCACGGGACTCTAATCACTGAGCAGGAAATGAACAAACCTATCTGAAAAAACAAAAGGCCTGCTTTGTCCAACTGTTAGTGCTACAGTAAAGAAAAGAGCAACAGTCTTTATGAAAGCAACGGGGAACAAAAGCAGTCAGGAGCCTTTCTCTGGTTAAATCATAAGACAATTTGTAGGCTAGAAAAAGCCCACACACATGCCACAAATGGCCACCAGTGTGTTTATACACTGCTTCTATTATACATGCAGTAGATTATAAAAATACAAGATGGGAAGATGAACTGCCAGTGAGAGAAGCAGGATAAGGAGAGAGAAAACAAAATAAATAATAATGCCAAGGTGGTTAGGACAGGCACAACAGATGAACAGCAAGGGATAAGATCTTGGGGTCTGGAGTCAGCAAATCTCATTCCAACCCTTAGGCAATATTCTTTAAATCACCTGTTCTTGAATGTACAAAAGGTGTATGAGTTTCCTGTTGCACTATAACAATGGTGACTTAAAATGACATACATTTATTCTTTTAGAATTCTGGAGGTCAGAAGTCCAAAGTCAGTTTCCCTTGGTCAAGGCCACACTGTCTTTGGGAAAATGTCTTTCCTTGTCTTTTCCAGCTTCTTTAACTGCTTTACATTCCTTGGCTCACAGCCTCTTCTTCCATCTTTAAAGCCAACAAAATAGCTTCTCTCTTAGCTCACATTGCTTTCTTCTGTGTCAAATCTCCCTCTGCCTCCCGCTTATGAGGGCACTTGTGATTAGGATAATTTCACTCTCTGAGGATCCTTAGTTTAATCATAATTGCTAACTCTCTTTTGCCAGATAAGGTAACATTCAAGGGAGAACATGAATGTCTTTGGAAGCCATTTATCATCCCTCTACAAAGGGATACTAAATTAATCTACTTCTCAGGGCTGTGGGAGGATTAAGTGCAAAGGACTGCATGAAAAAGTGCTTAGCACATAATACATGCTCAATAAATCTTTGCTGCTCATGACTTATAAGACATTTTATAGTCACCAGAGGTATTTGACTATAAGCTCTCTTGAAACCAAATCAAACAAGAACACTGCAATATTTGCAAGGTAAAACCAGT